TATAGAGAAGCATTTCTGAAATTTAGAGTAATGTTGAAATTGCAGAGGCACTACATAAACTTATCAAAGGTTACAGAACAGAGCTAAAAGCAACAGTCCTGATGTAATGATTTATAGTGATTTTATTTTCAAATCAGATTGTCCAAGTTTCCTGCCAATTATGAGAGAAGTTTATTAGTTACTATCCATTGAACACTGACTATTGGATAGATAGCTTTAAAAAAATCTTCAACCCTTAAAACAGTCTTTTTGTTTGTTTGTTTGTTTTAAGGTTTTTGCCACAGGGCACATGCACTCTCCAGAGAAAGCCAGTGAGAGGTAAAGTGAAAAATTTCCGGGGGGTATGACTATGCTGCAAGCCATTCTCATCCATTCTCTTCCTGGGATATTGGGCCCACATACACACATTCAGTGTGATTTTGAAACTGACAAGTTTAGGACTTGAACCACAGTCAGCCATGGGAGAGTTCAGAGCCTTAACCACTATACTACCTGCTGGACCCACAATAGCTTAATAATAGAGATATTGTTAATGCTCTATCCCCCTCTCTCTCATGGTTTTTTTTTCTTTTTTTTTGGTAGAGGTTTTTGCCTTAGGGCTAATATGTTCACTAGAGAGGGAGAGATAGAGGAGAGAGACAGTGAGAAGAAAAATGAGAAAATACCCCCCAGGAGGGATGGCCATGCTGCAATCCCTCCTCCATTCTCCTATCAGGATCTTGGACACACAGACACACATGCTCCTGGTGTAAATTTCAAGCCACTGGGTCCAGAACTCTAACCACAGGTGGCCATGTGGGAGTCCAGTGACATAACTGCCATCTGAGGACCAGCAGTTAGTGTAATGGCTATGTCACTGTGCTCACATGTAGTTGACCATGGTTCGAGTCCTGGACCCAGTGGATCTCTGTCTTTCTGGCAAGCACATGCACCCTATAGCAAAAACCTCTCCCCCCCCAAAAAAAAAATAATAATAATAAAAATAAAAATAAAAATAAATTGCCATCTGTTGGCTTCTATCTCTCTTTTTTTATTTAAAATTTTTTTTCATTTCATTTTCTTCCAGTCAATCACATTATTATTTGTCTTACAAAATGGATATTTCAACAGGTGAAAATTTCTCCCTAGCACTGTTGATAAAACTACGAAATATCTTCAACAGATAATACCACAGCTCTTTGTGCCATTAATGCTTTGCCTCCCTGTCTCTCACCCAAATGTCCTTCCTCAGACCCTCCTCTTTCACACACACTACATCTGGTATTTACATCTACATACGGCATTTCTATATCCTTTAGACAATTAGTTTCAGAGTGCACTCGATCTCTTCTTTTAAAGATGAAGAAATTGAGGCTCTGGACCAGTAGGTGGCACTGTGGTTAAGGCAGCTGGATCTCACATGGCCAACCACTCACTCAATTCAAGTCCTGAACCCAGTGGCTTAAAATACATGCTAGGTGTATGTACATGTGTGTCGAAATCCTGACAGGAGAATGGATGAGGGGGTATTACACTGTGGTCATTCCCCTCGAGGGATGCTTTCTCATTTTCCCTCTCTCTCTTTTCTCTATATCTGCTGTCTCTGGGGAGTGCATGTGCCTTTTAGCAAACTGAAAGAAAAGAAAAGAAAAACTTGAGGCTCCATGAATTTAAATTTGGTCAAGCTCTGATTTGTCTGGCAGATAAGCCTACACCTCTTATCATACTTCCCCACAGGTGAATCCATATGGTTAAAATTTAGTTTTATTTTCGTTAGAAGTTTGGAAACAGTTACAACTATTATTTTGCTCAGATTTTTCTGATGGCTGAAAGAAAAACAACAGATAACTGACGTGGTTGTGTGATTGTACCAGACACATTAATACTATCTTATATTTTTCAGATATTTCCGTGTTTACCCAGATCTACCAGTATGACTGCAAACCATGTTGTGAACTTTTTCAGCACTAAGCAATCTTTTCATTATTAAGTGGTTGGCTATAATTTTATTCTCAATCAGTACACATTGTGATAAATATTGCACAATGGCCTTTCCTTTTCGGAGATTTCAGATGTTTATTCACAGAAAGGTTTCAAAGGAACCTGCAAGAATGTGACTAAAAATACCAGTAAAGAGAATGCAGAGACTAAATTCATGATAGAATGTGTTCTTTTCAGAGCTAAAAATTTATTTTACTCTTCTATGATTTTTTAAAAATCGCAGGGCTTCATGAGCTCTGCTAGACATAAAAGGTTGGAGTCATATATGTGGAGTTGAGGAATTTGGCATTATCTTTTTTTTCTTTTTTTTTTTTTTTTGAGAGATTTTCACTGTAGGGCGCGTGCGCTCGCCAGACAGACAGAGAGAGACATAGAGACAGAAAGCGAGAAATCACCCCCCAGGGGGGATGGTCACGCCGCAATCCCTTCTCCTCCATTCTCCTCTCGGGATCTTGGGTACGCACGCACACGCGCCCGGCGTGAGTTTTAAGCCACCGGGTCCGGGACACGAACCGTGGTCTACTACGTGGGAGTCCAGCGACATAGCCATTACGCTAACTGCTGGTTCCCAAATTTGGCATCATCTTTAGTTTCCAATTATTTACGTTATGTTTCTGCAGAAGAAAGGAATATAAAGGATAAGGTGAATAGAATCTTCGCCATCGAGTATCATTAAATGATTGACAGTGGACCAACTTATAGGTGGTCTTTGTTCAAAATGGCTTGGATATATACATTCTCAGCATTAACAATATAGTGATGTCCAGAGGTCACATGACAGAGGTGTTTGTTACGCTAACATTTGAGTTACTAAAACAGTTTTACTGGACCAGAGAGTAACACAAGAATTGATCATGAAAAGGACTCATTCTGGACGCCAGAATCTCAGTTACAATAGCCTTTCCCTCCAGTCCCAAAACCTCTACAAGGAAGTAGAGGTTTTTAAAAAATTTATGATGGAGCATGTGTGTGTGCGCATAAGAGTGAGAGGGGAGAGAGACAGGAAGAGAGAGAGAGGGAGGCAGAGAGATGAGCACCCACAGGATCTGATAATTCCATGCTCCTCTTCCTCCAGTCTCTGGTGTGTTGGATCTTGGGCACTCGTGGGCATGCGTGGGACGTTTCGGGCTAATGGGCCAGAGATTCATACCCTGGTTGCCCTGTGGAATACAGCTTCTCCTGTGTACAGCATTGCAACTGTACATGGAGCTGGCCACTGTTGTCTTCAATCTGACCCTCTCAGAAGATAAGAAAAGTGTTTCTAAGAAAAATTTAAGGCACCCTAGGGAATAAGAAGTATATAAATATTATAACATTATTAAAACATGAAATAATATGTAAATGCAAAAAATACTTTTAGTTACATTTCACTTCTTTTTCTGTAGCTAGAGTCACTTGGAACTTCTTCTGTTACTAGCTGATCCTTCTCTACACAGTAGCATTGTTTTTGGCTCATTTCTGTCACACAGATTAGCGCCCTTATTATTTTCAGTGTCTGCTAATGTGTGGCCCAAGAGCCATGCCAAATAGTACATCTTTTTCAGTTAAAACCTAGAAAGACTTATCTTTCTAATAAACACTACAAAACTGGTAATGCCAGTACTTTTTGCCAAGTCTTCTCTGTTACCCAAATGTGCATCACCTGTGTTTTCTCTGCTTACACCAATAATATATTCCTCCATTTTGGAATAAACCAATGGAATTTTCTAAGTTTTATATATATATATATATATATATAAAGTGTCACTTCCTAAGTGGAGCTGGAGCTGATGGTGAGACTGATAGGAGGAATGCTGGGTGTTATATTATGTTTAAGGGCAAAAGATTGATTTTATATCCTCCTCTCCAACATTTACCTTAGTACTATCATGACCTAGAGCAATTAATTGTCATATACAAGTTAAAGGATAATTTTTCCTATATGAATGAAAGATGTTTATTTATTGGAACATACATTGTCAGACATATTTATGATCTGTCTTTTCAGAAATCAAAGAGCTAAAACAGTTCAATCACACGAACAGTGTTTGAAGGTGGAATTGTCTGCTTTAGGGATAGATTCTTTCAGGCAGGTGTGATTTTTAAACCAAGTGTGATGTGCAAATAATGCATGCCACTCTTCACCTTTCACCCTTTCTTCTATTGCTCTAAGCATTCATCTCTTCTCCCCAATGCACTCTGGGTCTTAGGAATGCCCATAGTCGCTCTAAGTTCCCAATTTGTTTATGTTTATGTTCATGGAACAAGTGCAGGATGCGATGTTCTTTGAAAAATGTAACATTAAGCGCTAATATAACAGTTTTAAATATGCCTTTTTTTCCTACAAACTAACATAGCTTTGTTTTACTTGTTATAAGCTTACCAATTTGCTTTTTATTTACATTTTTTTTGTTAGAGAGGTTTTTTGCTATTAGGGCATGTGTGTTCAAGAGAGAGAGAGAAGGCGAAAAATCACCCTCCAGGGGGAAGGTTACACCAGCATCTCTTCTCCTCTAGTCTTCTTTTGGAATTTTGGACACACACACACACACACAAACACACACACACAGAAGGCGTGAGTTTCAAGACTTCAGGTCCAGGACTCGAACCACAGTCAATCATATGGGAGTCCTGTGATGTAACTATTACACCATCTGCTAATCCCATCAATTCGCTTTTTTTGCTTGACTGATGGTTATATATCCTCTCCTCAATGTGGTCTGTCAATGAATGAGACCTTTATTTCTTTAACTGTTTTTGAATCTCAGGTATGAAGAACGTTTCCTACAATAAATTTATTACATTATGATAAGCACATTCATGACTTTTAAAAAGAAATACAGCTTGTACTTCAAGTGAGAGTCTCACCCTTTGTGATCTTTTATGAAGCCAATTATTTAGAATATGATGTGGAAATTAGTCTATTAAATTAAAAGCTGAAAATTAGAATCGAATAGCTCATTTTTATCTAAATGACTACATACACACACTGACAAATGACTTCAATTTTTTAACACAGGCAATTGTTTGTGTCTTTTCAGTCTATTCGAGAAGTCACAGGCTACGTGCTAGTGGCTCTTAATCAGTTTCGCTACCTGCCTCTGGAGAATTTACGTATTATTCGTGGGACAAAACTTTATGAGGATCGGTATGCCCTGGCAATATTTTTAAACTACAGAAAAGATGGCAACTTTGGTCTTCAAGAACTTGGATTGAAGAATTTGACAGGTAAGAAAAATATCCAAAATAGCAAATGTATCTTATTATCAATATAATGAAATACACACACACGTATATGTGGTTACTATAGTAGGGCTTCCATTGAGGAACGCTCTGCAATACTTCAATATTTGCTATTTGTGCACTTTATGGAAAAGGATATCCCATGATATCCTTACTTCTATTACAGATATTGTAAGTGCAGTTTGAAGGACACCATACTACCGTATCTCGGCTGAGCAGCAGTACATTCAAAGGAAATGTTCAGTGACTGAAAACTGAGATATGAAGCAGGCTTAAGAATGTTATGTTTGGTGGTCTCAGGTGAACAATGAACCATTACATCAAATCTCTGAAGTAATACCACAATTTTCACTCCCGTTAGAGCTTAGTAATACCCAAGCCATTATGTCTAGTTCCACTCTCTTTAGTTTTGTGCACACCTTATTTTGGGAAACATATCTAATTTATTCCATTTCAATTTCTCCTATTCAGTAGCTCACTAAATGCCATCAGCTATTCTTTCTCAGAGTATTTCCATATTGTTGGAGTGAATTTTTTTTTATTCTCCTTAAGATTGGAGATACAGAATGCTGGCATCCTGAAATTTCTACTAAAACACTCTGAGAATTTGATTTGCAAGCTGTTTCTAGTAGTTTAGTTAATACATTTGTTTATGTATATGTTCATGGAACAAGTACAGGATGATGTTATTTGAAAAATTTAACATCAAACCCTAGTATAACAGTTTTAAATCTGCCTTTTTTTTTCTAAAAACGAACATAGCTTTGTTTTACTTGTTATAGACTTTTTTATTTAATTTTGTTGTTGTTGTTGAGAGATTTTTGCTATTAGGGCATGTGTGTTCACGAGAGAGAGACAGAGAGAGACAGAGAGAGGACCTATATATAGTTATATATCTCACATATTTTATAATGGCTCCCACATTGGCAGAAGATTTCTAATGCCCAGTTTTACCAGGTACACCCTATAATTAAAGTGTGCTAGTTAGTAACTAATTAGTGCCTCTCAGTGGGATAAAGGAGTTTACACTATTCATTTCATATAAATTAATATTTATATGTTTTTGCATTCAAATATGTGGTGCTTTAATACGTGTTTTCAAGCTCTCAGTGGTAATGTGTTTTGACACTGACTAATTAAATATTTTAGAGCTATTGCCTTGAACTATTAAATAAGAAATATTAATATTGTCAGGTTATTGAGATTACTTGTTTCGTACACTGACAGTGAATATAAAGGATATAATTTTCAGTTAGAAATAGTTTTATAGTTAGCTCGATATAAAAAATTGGGATATTTCAGATGAAGAAAGGAATACTGATTATATTTTTTACTTTGGGCATGATTGTGATAGAATTGAAGAAATAATGGTAAATTCAAGTTGTTCAGAATTTATAGATTTGTCATCAATGTTTTTACTTCTCTTTCTTTCAATGATTGTTTTGTTACAAAAGAAAGGATATTTGACTAAATTGCTACTTACATGGAAATAATAATAAGAGGAAGAAATGAAATGAAACACGGAGTGAAAACTTGAGTGATTAAAATTAGGAGTCTAAAAATACTATGATTCAGTTAAAACTTGCATAGAAATCATTGTGTTTTCTTCATGATTTTCTTCTGATTACATTTAAGAAAGAATGAATACATTTGTTTTTAAACTTTTTATAATGCATACTTGAATCCGTTATTTCTTAAGATATGCTATTTGAAGTCTTTCCACAGAGAAAATTTGAAGCGTTCTCGTACTTATTACTATATTTAACATTAGTACTATTAAAATATTTTTAAAGTTATTTAATCAAAATTATGACCCATTTAAACACATGTCTATTGAATGAACTCATATCCTGTATTACTTATGGTTGTTGAATTTAACTTCATTGATATTAAGAGATAACACTATTATTTCATTAAAAAGTTCTTACTCTACTAGAAAACCCTCTGATATACATTGTTTTTGTGCTTTAGTAGAAATGCGTTAAGTAGTAAGTGATTAAGAAAAAGAGTTGATTATTTAGAAAATATATGTGAGGGGTCTTCAAAGGGTTCATGAAAAATGGATGTCATCCCCAAAATTGCATAGATATCAAAATTTTTGCACTAAACTTACACTTCCAGTTTTCTATGTACCTTTTAATGTCCACTCATATTTGTTTAAGAATTTATTTCATTTTTGGGGGATATGCAAAAGTGCAATGAACCAGTTCTATTAGAAATTTTTCAAATTATTTGCTAGGTATGAAAAATTGTATGCTAAACTTATTCTGTAAAGATGATAGTCTAGGATCATTGAACTTATTTTAGGTAAACTGAGAATGTAACTCCAATTCTGAACATCAGAAGTTGTGTAATATACATCATTGTATGTACAACAACATATGAAGGACAGAAGATACCTAATTGTTCACATAAAGAGGAATTTGAGATAAAATTTGGTTTTAAGTAATATCTTAAAGAGCTAAATGTGGTAGGACACCTGATTAAAACAAGCATTGTCATTCACTTCAATATTGCTTATTTAAGAGTTAAACTATGGAAGCTGATCATTCTTTTTAAAACTTTTTAGGTTATATTGAGTGCAGAGGTACTAGAGGGGTTTTAATTATATACTTACCGGTGTAGTGTGTGGTGAAAAGTGCTGTAGTGTGTGGTGAAAAGGAAAACTTGATTATTAGTCACTAACCTACCACAGTGTATAAAGTTTTTAACTCAGTTCTTATGGAACCAGCAGCAGAAGTGTCTAAGAACTTGTTTAAAATGCACATTCTTCTACCTCACCTGAGACTTACTGAAGAAAAATCTGGGGGGCGAGGAGACCCAGCAACTTGTACTCTAAGTATCCTTCCAGTGATTCTGTTAATGAGTAAAGTTTGAGAGGACTGACTAATCAAAGGCCTGTTACCAAGAAATAGTAGCACAATATCCAGTTAACCTTTTCATGTTTATTTTATGCAAATAGTTTTGATTCATTTATCAGGTTGTAGAGAGAAAGGATGTGACAGGATTAGGTAACAGTTTTTCTTTTACTGAATTACAAGAAACACACCCTGGTTTGGGATAAGAGTGAAAGAGCATGCTGGGAGCCAGGATAGAAATGTGAGCAACAAATGGCTTAGTGATGAGGAAGATGTTGGGAAAACATTTTCTGTATCACTGTTCTGCTGGATACGAACTTTATGTAATGGTAAACCATTGTGAGGACAGTAATTCCTGGTAAATTATCTTCTTAAGCAAAATTTTATTTTTAAGCATTTTTAGCAAGATAATGACAAGTACTAGTAATGGGTTTGGGAAGTCTGTAGAATGTTATAACACAGAATTTTGACGTTAAGATTTCAAGGTTTGTTGTGTATGTATATTCTCATACACGAATAGTTTGTGTTTTTTTTTTTCTGAAATAATTTTTGCTCTTTGACGTTAGAATAGCACACCTTCAGAATAGTATATTTGCTTTTGCAAGCTGTCTTTGTACAAGGAGATGTTCAGTTACCATGAGGCTGACATTTACAATAGTTAATGATTGGATGCCACTTATACATATATAAATAAATCCCTGCCTTAAACATTCTTACCAGTAGCTTAATGCTCACCCACAGCTATATTTATCCATGGACTAGAGACAGTACTACACATCTTATTTGGATTCTTTATTTCTGGGTATGCCCAAAGATGAAACATACTCAATGATATTTATAGGCTAAGTTGAAAAACAACAGCAAAAACTTGTTTTACTGCTGTCATTCAAGTGATTAATACAGGGAGGGATCGTTGAGGAAGAGTGGAGAAGGGTCAGGTCCCTAGATCAACACTGGGTTACATGATATGAAAGGGAATAAGAGACTTGTCTTGACCTCCTCTAGGTGCCCTTCTCTGGCTCATCCTTTTCTGATATGGAACAAGACCTTATTTCTATTAGTGCATACCTTCAGGGATATAATCGTTTTCATATCAAGGCCATCGTGGATGCCACTGTTGCATCAGAGGGGTACATACACAGCTGGAAAGGAAAACAACACTTCTCTCTATTAAGGTCATGTGACTATGGTTCTTATTAATGTCTCCCAGTGATGAGGTCCTTTGCAACCAAACATTTATACTCAAAATTCAAATCAACATTTAATATCACAATTACAACCCTAAATCTATAAGCTTCTATTTAGTCTAGCCATCCTCTAAAGTGAGGTTTATTATATGGGACATACAAATTGCTATTATATTATTGCTTCTATAATTTATAAAATCATTTCATCTGTCATTAATGATGGATAACATTATGTAACATAGTCTATATGTTAAATCATAGATATGAAGGAGTCTATGAGAAATATTAAGCTTTATATTGATTTTATGTATTCATATCCCATTTATAAAGATTAGATATGATAATCTAGCTTCAAATAATGCATATGCAGGCATATTTTTCATAAACAGATTTCCCCTCAGATATGTGTATTTTCATTTGAGAAATGATGAGAATAGTTCCATTGAGTAGGTGAAGTGTGGGATTATTCAAAAAAACTCAATTTATGTTTTCCAGAAACGAGCTAAATACATATTTTTTGTACCTACATATTCATGCATTTTTGTGTTTATTTAGTTAGTTTTTAAAATTTGTATGCATGGTAGAGCACATTCACATGCTTATGAGAGATAGGGTGAATGAGAGAGAGAGGGAGAGAGAGAGATGAGTAAAATTCACAGGGTCTGATCATGCTGTAATCCCCTTTCTTTAGTCCTCAGCCATTAGGTCTTGGGTGCTCACACTTGCTGGTCATGTTTGTGGCAGATGAAACAGGATTTGAATCACAGTAGCCATGTGGGATCAGATTTCTCTTGAGCAGAACATTAATGCTGTGCTACAAATTTGACCTGCCTTTATTTAATATATTTTTGTTGTTGTTGTTGTTGCCACCATAGGGCATGTGCACTTGTGTGTGTGTGTGTGTGTGTGAGAGAGAGAGAGAGAGAAAGAGAGAGATAGG